CTTTTGTGGAGCTTTTGGGGTTTTCAATATATAAAATCATCATCTGTGAATAATGATAGTTTCACCTCTTTTTTCTCCAGATGAGTTTTTTTTAATGTCTTTCCTTTGGCTTATGTTGTTAGCTAGGACTTCCAACATGATGTTGAATAAAAGAAGGGGACAAAGGGCATTCTTTTCTGGTCCCCTTTTTCAGTGGGAATGTTTTCCTCTTTTCTTCATTGACTACTACATTGGCTGGTTTTCGTATATGGTTTGTATTATACTGAGGACTTTTCCTTCCCTTCCTGTCTTCTTGAGTGTCTTAAACAGGAATGGGCATTGGATGTTGTCGAATGCTTTTTCTGCACTTATTGATATTATCATATGGTTCTTATCCTTTTTCTTGTCAATGTGGTGAATAGTGGTGATGGACTTTCAGATGTTGAACCATCCTGGCATCCCTGGAATGAATCTCACTTGGTCATGATGAATTATTCATTTTATATACTATTCTGCTTTATTGGCCAATTTTTTGCATCAGTGTTCATTAGAGATATTGGTCTGTAGAATTAGGTATCAAAAAGTTCTTTTTCTTTAAAATTGTTGTTTATGTTAAGTAAAGAGCTTTTTTGAGGAGTTCTGGTAGTACAATGGGTAAGTGCTTAGCTGCTAACTAACTAAAAGGTTAGTGTTTCAAACCCACTGCCCACTCTGTAGGAGAAAGATATAGAAGTATTCAAGCCATTGTGAGGCAGTTCTGCTCTGTCCTGTAGTGTCACTATTAGTCAGGATTGACTCCAGGCAGAGGTTCTTGGCTTAATGAGCTTATTTGTAGTGGTAGCGATGTCTTCTTAGGATGTTACTAAACACTGAGCTTCTCATTCCTCATCTGTAAAAAACAACGCTAATTCCTCTCAGATTGCTATAAGGAATAGATGACATATTTCATGTATGGCACCTAGAAAGCACTCAGCAAATGGTGGATATTATTTTCATTATTTGGAAGGTATAAGTAAATAGTTAAAGATTTACATTTGAAATGTCTTGCTTAGAAAGAAATCCATAAATTAAGTTTGACTTGCTTAAGTTGCTTCATTGTTCCTAAGTAAGCCCTGGTGTGAAAATCCCGTTATTTATAAACTTAAGTTATTTGTACATGGTGCCATTAACAATATTTGTGCAATTTAGTCAACATCTGGATCTGCATATCTAATCAAATTCTGATCTTTAAATACCATTCAGAAGACTCTTAAGGGATTTTCTAAACAGATGGAATTGTGTCTATGATTCCTATCTTCTCTACACCTGTTTGCCAGAAATCAGGGCTCAAAAAAGACAGGATGGGCTCCTTCACTTTCCTGACTGTTCCATCCTTCCATTTCCCACAATTCACCTGAGTGATTGAAGTTAAAACAGAAAGTGATATTGAGATTTAATGATGTCTCAGTCAAGTTGTTTAAAAAGTGGTGGAAGCAGAGTGGAGAGAAAACCGTAGAATGTGGTTCTGGTGACATTGGTTGTCTTCATTGCCAGCCCCTCTATCTATGTATCTGGTCCTTACTGACTTGGGAAGGAGACTTCCTACTTGAGGAGACTCCAGCCTCTTTCCTGAGCTACCTTGTTTCCATCCTTACACAGGTATTCTGATCAAACTTTTTCAATAGTTTCATTGGAATATTATTGACATGCCATATAATTCACGCAAAGGGTATAATCCAATCATTTTAGTATCTTCATAGATGAGTACAACCATTATCACAGTAAATTTTAGAAAATTTCATCCCTTCAAAAAGAAAACTTGTATTCCTTAGCTATCATTCCCTTAGTTGACCTTCCCTCTTCCTCCCAGACCTAGGTGACAACTTTCCATTTCTACAGATTTCCCAAGTCTGGGCTTTTATATAATATATTGACTTTTATGACTGACCGCTTTCACTAAGCATAATGCTTTTAAGGTTGATCCAATGTTAAGATGCATTCATCCATGATGTATCAGTACTTTATTCCTTTTTATGATAGAAGTAATACTCCATTGTATAAGTTTGGTGCATTTTGTTTATTCATTCATCCATTGATGAATATTTGAGTTGTTTCCACCTTTTGGCTGTTACAAATACTGCTGCTATAAACATTTGTACACAAGTCTTGGTATGGGCATGTTTTTTTTTGAATATATATTAGAAATGGAATTGCTTGGTCATGGGCTTTCTACTCCCATAAACAGTTTGTCTCAGAAACCCACAGAGGGCCGCTATGAGTCACCATTGACTCGAAGGCAGCGAGAGGGTGATTGTAACTCATATTTAACTACCAGTTTGTTTTTAAACTGTATACTTGCATTAGTAGTAGAGGAGTGTTCAGATTTTTTCTGGTCATGTCCATGCTTGTTATTACCTGACTGAAAATATTTTTGGATGGTTACTGATTTTTTAATGCTGCTATTTTAAGTGCTTGTAAAGTAGTTTCTCATGATTTCTGTGTGCACTTCTCTGATGACTAATGATTTGGAGGATCACTTCATGTGCCTATTGGCTATTTATATATCACCCTTAGATAAATATGTACTCTAGTTTTTTTAGTTAGGTTGTCTTTTTATAATTACATTAACTGATTTCTTTATATATGGTAGATACAAGTCCCTTGTCAGATAGCTTATATATAAATATTTTCTACCATTCTTTGGGTTGTCTTTAATTTTTTTTGAAGCACAAAAGTTTTTAATGATGAAAATTAATTTATTGTGACGTGTTTTGCTCATGCTGTTGGCCCCTCATCTAAGACTGTTTTGCCAAATCCAAGGTCATGAAGATTTGCCCCTATGTTTTCTTCTAAGTTATAGTTTTAGCTTCACAATTAAGTCTTTAATCTATTTTTGAGTAATTTTTATTTATAGTGTGAGAAAAGAAAACTTTTCATGCTCAGGATTGTAGAGAGCTTAAAGGGAATTTAAGTACATGACAGTTTTGATCATAAAGCCTTGGTAATATATATTTTTTAATATTCAGATCTAACGCATATATCTGAGTGCTTATAAATTATTCAGATGTAGATATATATTATTAGGTACATTCTCAATGAAACCCAAAATAGAATTTTCTTAAAAAATTGAGATGTGTGTCTATAAATAAAAGATCCATTTTTTTTTTCCTATTGGATAATTCTTGGAACCTTTTCAGGTGCATATATATCCCTACAGATTCATCTCCTGTGCCCAAATAATGTAGAGCTTAGTTGGGAGAACAAAATGCCTGTCTAAAAGTCAGGTTTTAGATTTCAGATAGTAAGGTACGATAAGAAGTTGCTTACATGAACCATATATGTCCAAGTTGTTCATCAGTTAGTAAGATAATCTTCTCCCAAGCCATGTGGTACCTGGGATCACTAACACATTTGAGTTCTCTACCTCCATTGCCAAGAAAGAATAGCACAAAAGGATAGCAGACAAATAGCTGCCAAGACATTTACGTTTTTCTTTTTTTCTGGAGGTTTTGGGAAGGAAACATGTGAATTAGTATTACTTGCTCTGGCACACTTTGGACTGGTGATTATGAAATACTCACAATATGATTGCAGTGGTAGATCATTTGTGTGCACAAGCGTTCTTGTCTGTGTTCTAGGTCACAGAGAGGCCATGGGCTGTGCCTGAAAGTGGGGATAGGGTAGAATTTAGGTGTGTGAAGATGGCAAGCACATTCCCTGCCCTTTGTATGGATGTTGTGGTGGCCTGAGCCTGACTTTTGCTTGTATGTTTCTAAGTGTACATTATTTTGTGTTCCTCATCGCCTCTTACTAGGCTTACCAAAAGCTTCTGTATCATATTTGCAACATTCTGAAATCCCATTTCTGTCTTCTCATCCATCACCTTATAACTTGTTCCTAACCCTGCAGCCTAAGTGATCTTTCTAAAATTGAAAGTTGATTATTATCAGTCTGTGGTTAAAATCCTTCATTGGCTCCTAACTCTCAATAGGAAGTTTGACTTTCTTCTGAGGTTTTAAGGCATTGTGGGTTAGGTGTTAGGCTGCTTACCACTAGGTTGGTGGGTTAGACCCATCAGCATGCACACTGGGCAAAAGATGAGGCTGTCTTCCCCCGTAAAGATTGATAGCCTAAGAAACCCTATGTAGAGTCACTATGAGTAAGAACTGGCTCAATGACATGAGTTTGTTTTTTGTTATTATTACTATTTGAATGCTACAAACCTTTTTGGAATTCCTGAGTGGTATAACTACTGGCCAAAAGGTTGGAGGTTCTAGTATACCCAAGGGTGCCTTGGAAAGACCTGATGATCTAATTTTTAAAATTAGCCACTGAAAACACAGCACACAGTTCTCTGACACACATGGGGCCAACATTAGTTATAGTCCATTCAATGGCAACTGGTCACTTCCGTTTTTAGTTTCATTCCATTCATCCTCCCCACCCGAGACATTCCTAACCAAATTTAAATAATTTCTGTGCTCTCCTTCACCTTTTGGTCTTTGTACTGGTTCCCTCTGCTGGAAATGCTTTTCCCATTCTCTTAGCTAACTTGTATTCCTCTTTTAGGACTTGAATTAAATTCCATTCCCTCGAAGCCATATGCAGAGTACGTACACTCGATGCTTGGCCTTCACCATTCTCCATCCATGCCTGGATATAATACAAAGAGCCCTGGAATTGTATTGGGGGTTGACAGGCCAAGGTTTCACTCCCAATCATTGCTATGCAAACTGGGAGGAAATCACTTAATTTCTCTAAGCTCTATTTTCTTCATCTGTAAAGTTGGTTAATACTACTATTCTTATAGGGTCATTGAAGAATTGCTCTGATAAAATGTATATAAAAGGATTTTGTAAGTGCATGTAATTTACTGCTACTGTTGTTACTACTACCACCCACTACCCTTTCTCTCCTCCCCCCACCATCCCTATCTCCACCCCTGCCATGACCTCATGGTCCTCACCAGTCTTTCTGTTGTGTTTTACATGGAATTTCATTTTTCAGGGGATGAAGACTTTACCAAAGAAATAATGGAGCTATTTTCCCAGCTACACATCTCCTGTAGACCAGAGAAACTCACCAGAGTAAGTTGTTATTTCTGGGTGATTTTTTATTACTTTACTTCTTATGGATTTAGTGGATATGGGCATAAGATTCTAAATTTTTAGCAAGGGTGTCACCTTAGTTGAGAGTATGTTCTGAGTTCAGTACTTTTTTCTTGCCTTATTCCAGCAGGTTACCATGCTAAACTCACATCAGCCCTCCACCCTCCACATCTTCCCTCTTTACACATTTTCATTAGGATCACATAACCGTTTCATGGCTTGGGGGACACGTAGCACCCCCTCTGGGGTTTATTGAAGAAGCCCTGGTGGTGCTGTGGGTTAGGCACTGGACTGCTAACTGGAAAGTATCCACAAATGTAAAGCAGAAAATAATTGAGTCATGAAGGAGCAAGTTGATGGTGCTTACCAGCTTGTGTGATGCCAGTAGACAAGATTGACTGGGGTCCCTGTCTTCAGTGAGCTGGAGATTGCCTTGTTTTAGATAGTGACTATTTAACTGTGAAAATGAGTGTTTCATGGCCCAGATCTTCATTTTTGGTGATGACTATCTTCACTTATCTAGAACATGGAGAGACTTTAATCAGGACTCAGGTGAATAGGGAGGAGAGGGCCTGTTGTAGATCAGTTTACAGTAGCACATGTGTTAAGAGACACTATTCCTTGGGGCATGGGTGCTTATTTACTGCTGCTTCACCCTCTTCTCCCAAACTGAAGAAATAGGACCAGAGGCAGTGGCTGGTGCATAAGGTTTCCTGACCTGGAATAGCTGATAGTTTGCAAAGTCAGCACAGGTGTCTACCCTCCTTGTGTCCCAACATAAGAATTATGGGCCATGGTTTGTATCCCATTCTCCTGTGCCCAGGGAATATGCTAACTTCTCAAGGGAAGCCTTGCTGATCACACTACCGCACACACATCATTTCTGTTCTCTGAGCTGTAGTTCTTTATCAGAGACTTTCTATCTTGAATGGACTTTTGTTAGTTGTTAGTTTGCAACAACAGTATAAACAATATTCATAGTCCTTTTATGGAGATGCACTTACTGTTGGGATCTTAACTCCTTTGTTTAATCATTTGTGCTTGTATATGTGTGGGTGTTCTTCCTTTTTCTCTATACATATACACATACACATTCATATACTGTTACTACTTTTGGAACCATTTGAGTGTAAGTTCCAAATATATACAGCCCTTTACCTCTAAATACTTTAATATTATTTCTTATGAGAACAACTATTCCTTTAGTAGGCACTGTGTAATTATCCACTTAGGTAAATTTAACATCAGTGCTATACTTTTATTACTCAATTATTGCATATTATAGGTTTGTCAGTTTTCCCAGCAATGCCCTTCATAGCAAAATTTGCCCTCCAACAGTGGACCCGCTGCAAGAGTACAGGATGTATTTAGGCGTTAGTTACTTTTAGTCTCTGTTATTTTGAAATTGTTGCTCTATACTTTTTTCAGTCTTTCAGGACACTGACATTTTTAAAAATATAGTCCCTTTTTATAGAAATAAAACATTCTTCATTTGGGATTTGCCTGGAGTTTTCTTATGATTAGAGTTAGGCTATGTGGTCTCAGCCAATGTGCTCCATATAACGTATTGTGTCCAGCTCAGGGTTTCAAAACTAGAGGTACATCTCGTTTACCATGTGTTGTCTAGTTTCTCCCCGTACAGTACTATTGACCTGTGCTACTGTGGGAAGATACTTTAAGACCTTACAGTAACCTCTTCCTTGTCCTCATTTCCCTCCAAGATTTAGCATCATGTCTGGACTCGTACTGAACCAATTTTTACTGTGGTGTTTTCAAAATAGTGTTGTTGTTATTTGAATCAACACACTCTCCACATTTACCGGTTAATTTTTGGATTTCTGGTTCTCCCCAATCCTTTACCTGTTTATTGTTATGGCCTCATGGGTTTCTTTTTTCTGTTTTTCCATTGGTAGTTTGTCACTGTCCCTCATTATTTTCATGTTCAAATTGCTCTTCAAGTTGGCTCTTTGTGGCATGTCCCATTATTTTTATTTAATACTTCCCTAGCTTTCTGGCATAATAAGGTAGTGTTCTGTAGTTGTTACTCTAATTTACATGTTTGTGTGACTTCGGCAAATCCCATTCCTTCTCCCAAGTGTTATTTTGTTCAGATTTTTAAAAAAATTGGAGATGCTAAGCTCAAAGATGCTTTTTAATTTTAATTAATCCAAATCTCACCAGTGGGAATTTATAGGTTAAATCATAGGGTGTGATAGTAATAATTTTGGAAAGGAAGGGTAAATTTCCTTAAGGTGGCACTTATTTTCGTTACTACGTCATAACTGTAATTTTGCTACTGTTATGAATTGGGCAACCCCTGTGAAAGGGCCATTTGACCCCAAAGGAGTCGCAACCACAGGTTGAAAACTGCTGCACTACACTGATTTCCCTCTGCTTACCACTCTTTTTGTCTACATATTTGTATTTGTGTGACTGACTCCTCTGTGTCCTTTAGTCCTCAACGCAGATATCACTCTTTGGAGACCCTTACTACCCCGTTACCCAAACAGAAGCTTCCCTGTATCCACCCAGTCCACTCCCCAGCTCAGCTCATTTGCTTCATGCATTTATTTGTTGTTTGCTTCTTAGTTGTTTTTATTACCAGACTCATAAATATTAGGACCCTAGTTTGTTTTTAATCCCTGTATCCCCAACACCTAGCACCATGCTCAGTAATATTGGAAATGCATAAATGGAGTAATAATTTCCTGCACCTTATTCTAAACTCTTGCCACATAATCTCACTTTCACCACCATACCTTGCATATTCCTACTTCTGAGCCTTTGTGTAGTTCATTCTGTTTTTTTTTTTTTCTTTTTAATTTGAGAAGCTTGAGTATTAGGAAGGTTACAGGTCATAGCTCAATTGTCCCTGGTGGTGGTGGTGGGGGGTTGTAGGAGGCCATATGTTATAGGCGAGAACCTCACAATGAATATCTGTATACATGGATTCTGCTCTAGACAGAAACCCACCTAACTCTAATTCTGTATCTATAATAAAATTGGTTGTTCTCTTAGATGGAATGATCTACTGTTTTCCCTAGACTCCTACTGCTTTGAATACATTCTGTCTTATATAAAGTTATTCAAGTACATACCTTCATTTCTTGTCAATAAACACTTCTTTAGAAACTGGGACTTTCTCAATTATAAATGGTAGAAAGTGAAGTCAGGTTTGCCTAAGGAAAAAAAATTTATTACCTCAAGACACTATGGACTGTCAAGGGGCAAGACTGGCATTAAGTATGGTTCTTCCCAGGAACTGACCCCTGTCCATCTTTTAGCTCCAATTTCTTCTGTCTTACCTTCATTCTAAGGGATGCTTTTCCTCATGTTAGTGTCAGAGCCAAAGGAAATTAGAAACAACCAAAGGTCTATCAGCAGGAGAACGATAAATTGTAGTATGTACATAAAATTGTATACTACACAGTAATAAGTAAGAATGAACCTGTGCTACAAGCAACAATCTGGGTGAGTCTAATAGACATTGTATTGAGCAAAAGATGCCAGGTGCAGAGGAGTTCCACTATATGCATTTTAAGCACAGGTAAAATCTATGCTGAGACAGAAGAGTCATGTCCTTTGAGCAGAGGGAAGGAGGACCTTGCTCTATTGTATATCTTGATAAACAGTTTTTGAGCTGAACTCTGGAGATTTGTGTACTTTATCTAAGTTATAGTTCAGGGTTTTTAAAATGCCAAAGGACTAGAGAATTTCAAGGAATAAGTAGACAGCAATAAATGGTGCAGGCTGGAGATCCCCTTGCAGAGGGGTCTCAGGGAGGAGACGAGCCAGTCAGGATGCGATGTAACAACGATGAGAAATACAACTTTCCTTTAGTTCCTAAATGTTTCCTCCCCGCTCCCACTACCATGACTTGAATTTGACCTTGCAAGGCTGGCTAGACCAGAGGATGTACACTGGTACAGATAGGAACTGAAAATCCAGGGAATCCAGGGTGGATGAGCTCTACAGGACCAGTGGTGTGAGTGGCGAAACAGGGAGGGTAAAGGGAGAATGGGTAGGAAAGAGGGAACCGATTACAAGGAACTGTGTGTGACCTCCTCCCTGGGGGACAGACAACCGAAAAGTGGGTGAAGGGAGACGTCGGGCAGGGTAAGATATGACAAAATACCAATTTATAAACTATCAAGGGCTCATGAGGAAGGGGGGAGCGGGGAGGGAAGGGAAAAATGAGGACCTAATGTCGGGGGTTTAAGTGGAGAGAAAATGTTTTGAGAATGATGTACAAATGTGCTTTACACAATTGATGTGTGTATGGATTGCAATAACAGTTGTATGAGCCCCCAATAAAATGTTTAAAAAAAAAAATAAATAGTGCAATTAATGGGGGGGGGGAAATAAATAAATAATAAACTTATTCTTGAAAAATAAAAAAAAAATAAAAATAAATGGTACAGGGAGCTCTACTAAAGTAAAGATTGAAGAGCTGCCTTATATCTTTGGTTATGAATATTAGCACTGATTTCCACAAAGCTAGCATAATCCAAAGTTGGAACTATATGTCTATACTTTTTTTTAAGGCAAGAAATGCTGCTTATGAATGGATTGAGACACCTCTGAAGAAGCCATTGGTAGAAAAGGAAGAAGAGGAAAAATATTTGGAAATACAAAGCACTGAGCAAGTCAATAAAAAATCAGTAGAGGTAACTAAGTAATGAAGCCTTATTTTGCAGATTTGAGATGTGGGTACTATACTCAGAGATCCGAACTATTTCTGTTTTGTTACATTGCTGGCCATTTCAGCTTTTAAGTTCAAGACTACGGTATCTTAGTTCCAGGCTGTAGGATGATAAAAGGAGTGAACAAAAGAGCTAAAGGGTGTATTTGTCATGTCATGAGGAAGGCTCTTCGGAGCAACTATAAGACCCTTTCCATTTGTCTCTTTAGCCAAAATTTAGTTACATAATACCACCTGATTTGTTTTAGAGGAGGTTTTGTGTTTGCAACAATTAATCAGATAGAGGCAGCTCTGGTGGCAGAGTGGGTTACATGTTTGGCAGCTAACCACAACGTTAGCAGTTCAAAAACCACCAGCGGCTCCATGGGAGAAAGCTGCTGCTCTCTACCCCGATAAAGAATTCCAGTCTCAGAAACCCACAGGGGCAGTTCACTAGGGTCACTGTGAGTTGGAATGGGCTCGATGGCAGTGGGATTGGCTTGGGGTTTTATTAGTGTCTGCAATGGGCCCTGGTGGTGCACTGGTTAAATGCTCAACTAGTAGCAAAATGAGCGATGGTTTTAAGTCCCCTATGACTTCTGCTCTGTCTTTAGGCTCATTATGGGCCTGAATTGACTCAATGACCTAAAGCAACAATAACAACATTAGTGTCTACTATGTTCAACATATTTAGTCCTTTTGAGTGAGAGAAACATAGCTATGTTATTTCCTAGAGGGTGGAAAAAACCAGTATTTTGTTGTCTTAGTGTTTGTTTTTCCAGGATATCCATGCATTTGCAATCCGGAGCCTGGCTGAACTGACTGCCTACTCAATCGAACTTTTCCACAAAACAGCAGCATTGGTTCTGCACGGTCAGAAGCAGGAAGTGACCGCCATAGAAAGGAGCAGAGCCCTTTCCCAGTAAGTGTAATGAGCATCCCTCTAATTGACGCAGATTGCGGAGACTTTTCTTGACTCACTTTTAGACATTTAGAACTTCCCTCTCCAGTAGCTGCTATTCCCATGCACCCATTCCCGTAGTAGAAGTTTCTTCATTTTGATTTCAGTTAATAAGTAATCGAGGCTGTTTCTTTTCAGTGAGTCCTGATAAGTCTACATTATAAATCTACCATCTCTTATTAAGCAGCACATGTTCTGAAAACTAGTTCTCAATATATTAGTCTTAATAACCACCCAGTGGTTTTGTGGGAGAAAGAGCTAACAATATGCTTTTGTAAGGATTTCCCCTAGGATATGCAGTTCTCCTCTGTACGTGGGGCCTCAGTGAGTCAGGAGGCAACTCAGTGGCACACACTAGCAACTATAACTGGGTGTATAGCTGTATGTATTTACACACTCACCTATTTATGATTATACAAACATACACATGCACTTTTATGTGTGTGTGTATATATATTTATATATATTTTTGGGCTTCAAATATGGAAAATTTCCATTATGAATCCCCCTCATCCGTATGAAATATGGATTTTTATTTGCTCATAGTCTTCTCCTTAATTAGCAAGTTAAGTTAGAATACGTGAAAAGTGGAATTTCACATATTCACTGATATGTCTCCAGTGCCCTACAACAGTGCCAGATACATAGAAGACTTTTAGTAAACATTTGTTGAATATATGAATAAATGAATGTATATATTTCAAAATGTAATGGAGGCTCTTTTAAGTACTATGTTTTCCCTTTAAAATGTATTTTAGTTATATTTTTTGACTCAATTTGAAAGTATAAAATGTTTTTAAAGAGTGAACCTCTACTTCCTTGTAGCATGAAGCCTACTCAAATGAGCCCCCAAATATGTTAGTTCCCCAACTACATTAGCATTCCTAACTCACATATAGTACCAAAAGTGGTTGTATCCCCTCCCCCCACCAAAATTGTTAAATAGAGCTTTTTTTTTCCTTCAAAGAGAGAAAGAAAAAGATAAAAAGGAACCCTTCTAACTCTGCTTGCTTCTTTCCCAGGATGACAGTTGTATTGTGTAAAGATTTGTCCATTATGTCTAAAGAGTTCACCACCTGCCTAACAAGTGCTGGGGTAAGAATTCCCTTTTACCAGGCTAATATCTGTGTTTTGCAAATTAGATATGGTACAATTTGCCTATTTAAAAGTATTTAAGTCAGTGGCTTTTAGTATATTTACAGAGGTGTGCAACCATCACTATAACCCACTTTTAGAATTGTTTTCTTGTTCCAAGAAGAAAGCTCACACCA